TGAAATAGAAACAATGTCCTTAATAAGAGTAATGTATTCATGCCAGGCATGGTGGCTCATGTCTGTAATCCCAGCACTTTGGGAGGCCAAAGTGGGCAGATCATCTGAGGTCAGGAATTCAAGATCAGCCTAGCCAACCCTGCGAAAACTCGTCTCTACTAAAAATACAAAAAGTTAGCCGGGTGTGGTGACAGGCGCCTGTAATCCCAGCTACTTGGGAGGCTGAGGCATGAGAATCGCTTGAACCTGGGAGACAGAGATTGCAGTGAGCCGAGATTACACCAAAGCACTCCAGTCTGGGGGACAGGCCAAGACTCTGTCTCAAAAAAAAAAAAAAAAAAAAAAAAAAAAAAAAAAAAAAAAAAAAAAAAAGTGATGCATTCACAATAGGCTTTATAGTATTTTAGTCTTTATTTATAGCTAGTACAGTCTAATCTAATTTTTAAATGCTGGTAACAACTTATTGATGGGTTGCAACCCTGAGTTTAAAGAATATGGTTCTAGATCTTCAAGAACAGTGGTCTCAAATGGTGTCCCTGAACCGTTATCATCTGAGAACCTGTTAGAAATGCAAATTATTGGGGCTGGGTTTGGTGGTGTGTGCCAGTAGTCCCACCTAATTGGAAGGCTGAAGTGGAACAATCACTTGAGCCCAGGAATTTGAGACCAGCCTAGGCAAAATAACAAGACCCTATGTTGAAAAAAGAGAAATGCAAATTCTCAGGCCCGCTCCAGTCTACTGAATTTGAATCTCTGGAGGTGGCACCTGGCAACTGTGTTTTAACAAGCTCTGCAAGTAACTCTGATACATACCAGAGTTTGAAATTTACTACTCTATAAACTAGAAAAGACAGATTAAGGCTGCTCTTTTCATTGTTTAAGGCTGCACTTTCCCAAAAGGCGGCCACTAGCCACATGTGGCTGTTTAAATTTAAATGAATTAAAATGGAATAAAATTAAAAACTCAGTTCCTCAGTTGCCCTAGGCACACGTCAGGTGCTCATGTGATTCTTCTGGCTAAATAGACCATGTGCACCTGTGGCAAGGGGGCAACACTAACGACTGCAGGAAGGATGCCGGGAAAGCCTCTCGATTACCTCAAATGCTGAAGTCAATTTAAGGCACTGATTGAGGCAGAAGTGGGGGAATTAGAAAGGAGCATTTGCCTTATAGAGGCTCCAAATACCATAAAAGATTGACAGAATATGAGAACCAAGCAACTGAATGAGGAAGGCTATATACCAAATCTCTGATTGGTCTTTACAATTATATCAATTCAGTATCTTTCATAAAAGAAAACTATTCATCCCCAATATATAAACAAGCTTTCTTTCAAAAGCTAATGTAAAATTCAGTGTCTAGGAATTCAGAAAAATTCCAATTACATATATAGTTTTACACACACACACACACACACACACACACACACACACAATGTTCTTACAAAAACAACTTCTAGCTGAGCACGGTCACTCACACCTGTAATCCCAGCAACTGGGGAGGCTGAGGCAGGTCAATCACTTGAGGTCAGGAGTTCAAGACCAATCTGGGCAAAATGGTGAAACCCTTTTGAGCCGGGCTAAAATTACAAAAATGAGCCGGGCATGGTGGTGGGCACCTGTAATCCCAGCTACTTGGGAGGCTGAGGCAGGACAATCGCTTGAACCTGGGAGGCAGAGGTTGCAATGAGCTGAGATAGTGCCACTGCACTCCAGAGTGGGCGACAGAGTGAGACTCTGTCTCAATCAATCAATCAATAAAAAGCCAAGTTCGTGGCTGGGTGCAGTGGCTCATGCCTGTAATCCCAGCATGTCGGGAGGCCAGGAAGGTGGATCACAAGGTCAGGAGTTCAAGACCAGCCTGGCCAACATGGTAAAACCCTGTCACTACTAAAAATACAAAAATTAGCCAGGCATGGTGACGTGTGCCTTAAGTCCCAGCTACTCAGAAGGCTGAGGCAAAAGAATCACTTGAACCCGGGAGGCAGAGGTTGTGGTGAGCCAAGATCACGCCACTACAGTCTAGCCTGGGCAACAGAGCGAGACTCTGTCTCAATAAAAAAAAAAAAGAAAACCAAGTTCTTACTATATTATATTTATATTCCTGAGCTGACCAACCAACAGAAGTCTGTTTGAAATATATACATATATGTATATATATGTATATAGATAGATATACATTTATATGTATATGTATAGATAGATAGATAGATTACAGATAGGGTCTTGCTCCATCATCCGGGCTGGAGTAGAATGGTGTGATCCTAGCTCACTGCAACCTCAAACTCCTGGCTCAAGGGATTCTCCAGCCTCAACCGCCTGAGTAGCAGGCACTACAGGCACATGCCCAGCTAATTTTATTGCTTGGTTTTTTTTGTAGAGACAGGGTCTTGCTATGTTGCCCAGGCTGGTCTCGAACTCTTGGCCTCAAGCACCCTCCCACCTTGGTCTCCCAAAGTGCCAGGATATAGGTGTAAGCCACTACACCCAGCCTGAAATCCTTTAGCTTTACAAAGAAAAATGGCAGAAAATAAAATGGCTGGACTGGTCTTTTCTAGTTTGGGGATGAAGTTCTGGTAAGCAACACTTCTTTGAATAGGAGTCACTATTTTCATCCCCACAACCATCATAGGACAAAGAAGAGCTCTTTTTCATGCTAAATTGTTAACAGAAAGGTGAAGGCAAAGCTGGGAAGGAGGATGGTGGGTTTTCCTGCTCACCTGTGCACAGGCCTCTCAGGGCTTCTTCCCCAGCAAGCGTCCAGGGGTCTGGGCCCCAGGCTGCTTCTCCTTGCTCCAGCCGGAATATCAGGTCAGGTTTGGGGAATGGAAATGCTGCTAGAGGAGAAAGAAAAGGAACAGGAAGCTGAGGAGAATCACCAGTGACCTCCCTCTCTCTGCTTTGCCAGGTAAAAATAAAAGAGGATGCCCCAGGAGACTAAGTGAAATCAGAGAGGAGTGAATCTACAGAATCTAAGGAAGGGCTTGAAGCTTGCTCTGGCCTCTGAGGACAGAAAGCTCCCACAGTCACTGGAGGTGTGTACACGAGGGCCCTAGGGGACTCACAGATAGGCAATAGGGCCAAAATCACCTCCCAGGAACTGGAAGATGGAAGGAATGAAGGCAGTGCACCAGAAACCTTCTCAGTTCTCTCTGTTCCCAGAGGAAAGCCGCCTTCAATTAAGTATCCATTAGGAATCAGGGAAGAGGACAGTGCTGTCAAATACCTAAGTGAACCCAGCTCTTTCTCCATCCAGCTACTCCTGGCACTGGGGATTAGGGAGCTCAACCAATAGGGCAACAATTCTGAAGGTATTCGAGATCCTACATCTGCTAAGGAGGAATCTAGTAGTCCCCAAGGGCAGAAGCTGAGTTTCAGAGAGGAAGAAGGACTTACACAAGGAAGTTACAGTTGCATAATTCTCCAGCATCACCTCCCTGAACAGGGCCCTCTGAGAAGGCTGCAGGCTGGTCCATTCATTCTGGGTGAAGTACACAGCCACATCCTCAAAGGTCACTGGCTCCTGAAACAACAAGTTCCTTCTCAAGCCCTGCATAAGAACACAGGGAGTGGCCTGAGTTCCAGGAAAGGCATAAATTTACTAGAATCCATGGCACTGAGCCCCATGGAAGGTTTGTACTGGCAAGGAGAGCCACACAGCACCCCAGCTGGGGCAGCCCTGAGTCAGCATTCCAACTTTCCATGTGCATACCTCTGCAGCCCTAATATTATCATCCTAAGCACAGAGCCCAGCACCTGCTGTTCTTTGCTTGATGATCATGTCAACCCATGTCTGGTTCCACAGGCCAGGTATATTTTCTGGCATGCTTTCTAAATTGGCCATAGCAGGTAACCATCTTTCACCCTCCCTCCATCCATCCTGAAGCACCTATCAGGGCCTTCCACTCAGCTTCTTTCTGGTCTTCCTCCCCTGCATCTTCTGCTACAGACAGGGGAGTGATTTCATGGGGATAAGGTTCCTTTCATCCTGGATATTTCTCCCCTTTCTATCATCTTGCCTTATCAGAAGCTATTAATAGTTCTCCCTTGCCTGGATATGTTGGCTCATGCCTGTAATCCCAGCACTTTGGGAGGCCAGGCCAGGCAGATCACCTGAGGTTGGGAGTTGAAGACCAGCCTGACCAACATGGAGAGACCCTGCCTCTACTGAAAATACAAAATTAGCTGGGTGTGACAGTGCATGCCTATAATCCAAGCTACTCGGGAGGCTAAGGTAGGAGAATCGCTTGAACCCAGGAGATGGAGGTTGCAGTGAGCCGAGACTGTGTCATTGTACTATAGCCTGGGAAGCAAGACTGAAACTCCATTTTTTAAAAAAAAAAAAAAAAAAAATAGTTCTCCCTCCCTTGAAGGTGATGTGCAGTGTTAACTTCGTCTCCTAACACACTTCACTCCAGGACAGGATAGCAATCTCCCACTTCTGCAGAGATCTGCCCACTGCTGTCCTCTTTTTTTTTTTTTGAGACAGAGTCCAGCTCTGTCGCCCAGACTGGAGTGCAGTGGCACCATCTCCACTCACTGCAACCTTCACCTCCCAGGTTCAAGCGATTTTCCTGCCTCAGCCTCCCTAGTAGATGGGATTACAGATGTCCGCCACCATGCCCAGCTAATTTTTGTATTTTTAGTAGAGATGGGGTTTTGCCATGCTGCCCAGGCTGATCTCAAACTCCTGACCTCAGGCGATCTGCCCGCCTCGGCCTCCCAAAGGGCTGGGATTACGTTATAAGCGTGAGCCACCGCGCCCGGCCAATGCTGTCCTCTTCACTGTGTGTCTCTGTCTTTCTGCTTCCCACTAAAACCACCTCCAGCTTCTCAAGGAAGAAGGAAACATCACAAGCTATTTAGACCTTTGTCCCTGTGTCAGTCACTTTTAAAACAATTTGCTCAATCATTATAGCACATCTGTGAAATAAGAATTATTTCCATTTTCAGATGATGGGAATCAGCAATATTAAGCACTTTGAAATAGACTAAAAGGAGTCCTCTTTGAGTATTTATTACAAGGTTGTATACGGAAGCAAAAATGTCAAAATGAGCTGACCACTTTTATAGAAATTCGTCCCACTGTGGCATCTCTCTAACTCACACCATAGTCCTTCTCAGTCCATCATGTCAACAAGCTTTCCTTTGTACTTAAGTCTCTTCTGAGCGAAGAAATATAACATGGAAGTACTAGAAGATTTGCAGTCCTCATTGTAAAGATCATCAATGGCAAAAATCATCAATGAATGCTAAATCTAGGAGGAAATTTTGATGAGAAGCAGAATATTTGCATGATCTTAAATGTCTTTTCATAGACTGCCTATTAGTTCCAAAAGGAAAACAGTAATTATACAGTAATCAGATAACCCCTTAACCAGAAAGTTCAAATGTGGCTGGCGTGACTGAGGAACTGAATTTTTAACTTTAATTGATTTTAATTTAAATAGGCACATGTAGCTAGGGAGTACCTTATTGGACAGTGCAGAATAGATACAGGTATTAATACCCTTGTCTGACTTTCTTCAGAGTCAGCAGCTGGGAACATGGACCTCACTTTTTCTTCACATTATGCTCTACATTTCCATGCCTCTGAAACACTGCTCTGATTACCAGCACATTCTTTGGTTCCTTGTTTTCTGAAACACTTAGCTTCCTCAGATCCTGCTCTATCTGTGGTCACTCTTCTGTCCTGTACTTGCACTTACTTTCTTCATTAAGTGGGGCTGCTGACTCCCTTCTATGGAAGTGGGTTACAAAGGCAGCACAACACAGTGGCAAATGGCACAGATGTTAAGGCTGTGGTTCTCAACACGGGGGCCATTTTGCCCCCCAGGGAGTATGTGGCAACATCTGGAGACATTTTTAGCTGTCACAGCTGCAGTGTGGTGGTAACAGTAGTGCTACTGGCATCTAGTAGATAGCAGGCCAGGAATATTGCTGAACATCCTATAATGCACAGGACATCCTATAATGCACAAACAAAGAATTATCTGGCCCAAATGTAAATGCTGCCAAAGTTGAAAAACCCTGCTCTAAGCCAGACTCCCTAGGTTCAAATAGCAACTCTAATACTCATCAGCTGTTAATCTTGGATGAGACAATTAAACTTTCTCTGCCTCAGCTGCCCCATTTGTAAAACTGAGATCATAATAATAACTATTTGATAGGACTCTTACAAGGATAGCATAAGTTATTATCTGTAAAGCACTAAGATATCACCCGGCACATGATATCATTTAAATCTCAGCTCTTACTACAACCACAGATGAGACTGGAGGAACTTCCTAGAAGATTCTAAGTGACAAATGTTCCTCTTAGAGATTGTAGCAAAGACTGACAGGTGAGTGTGAGTGTGTATGTGTGTGTGTGTGTGTGCGCCCCCTTTCTTTCTTAGTATTGGAACCCTAATTTTACCTGACGTTGCACTCAGCCCTGGCAACCAAGTGGGGCCAATGAAATGCAAGTAGAACTATTGTTAGGGAATTATGGGAAAGTTCCTACAAGAGAGGTTCACATTCTTTTGGCAGCTCCTCTTCTAGCTGGAAGGCACACATGATGGCTAGAGATCAAGCAGCTACTTTGGACAATAAAGTTGCCTAGAACATATGAAATGCTGCTAGGATGGTAGAGCAGAAAGACAGAGCCTGAGAGCATCCACACTAGCCCTGGATTGACTCTAGACACTTCTGTATGAGAGAGAAGCCTTTACCTTGTTTAATCCACTGTCACTTGGGGTCCTCTTGGTGGAATCTAATCCTAAGTGATTACTGCACTTCAGGCAAAGCACAGCCTACCTCCACAGATATTTAAACACTTCCTGACTTGTAGGAATGAATGTTTGCCAAAGTGTTCCAACAGTAGTGGACGATCCAATATCCACAAAAAGGAGGACACACACATTACTTTTCAGTCCTTGGGATGGAGCTTTCTCATTTTACATGATACATCCACTACGTGATAAACTCAGCTTTCTCATTACACGATCTAGGATCCAGGAGAAAAAAACCAGTAAAACCATCAACTACCACCAAGAAAAGTCTGGAGGGACAAGTGCTCCCAATGCTACATGAATTTGTGCCAAGAAAGGATGCAGACTCTCACAGAGGTTAGACTGATGTCTTCACATTGAGCTAAAGGCCCTGGCTTCAGCTCCAAACTCATCACTCCTCCAAAAATACACCTCCCTCGTCAATCCATACCTTCCAAATGCTTCCAGTTCTGCCTTCACTGTACCTTAACTGAATGGTCTGCGGGGCAAACTCCTCCCTTGGAAATGTCTATTTAACCTGAGAAGTGTCTTTTCTTTGTGTATTGTGATACAGACAAGCACTCCTCAAATTTTAATTTGCCCCTTAATTTTCCAGATCTAGTAAAAACGTAGGTTCTGATGCAGGAGATCAGACATTTTCCTAACAAGCACCCTCTATAATGCAAAAGCTGCTTGTCTCCAGGCCACACTTTCAGTTCTCATGCATGCAGACTCTCACTTTCTAGGATAATTCATTCCTTCTTTTCCAACCTACCTGACCCTCCCAAATTCACCAACTCTCATTCATCAACACCCCTAGCATACTCTTTTGCCATACTCTATGAAGGATGTTAAACGAAGGATGGGACTGGCCAAGTCAGGCTACTAGGCCTGTGCTGACTTTCCAAACCTGTTCTGAGTATGGAAAGCTGAAAGAAAGCTCTGCTCACCTGGAACCACAGTGTCTGGAGCATGGCTGATGACCTCTGGCTTCATGCACTGCCCTCTAGGTTTGGAAAAGCAAGAACCTGTGGAGCTGAGAACCGCAATGAGACTGTCTTGTCTCCTACACGTGGTTCCACCTCTTCCCTCTGTCTCCTGCCACTAGCACTGCAGATGTTCTTAGCACACTAGCTGCTCCCATTCACCCTCTCCACTGATTCACGGGATGCTGCATATGCTCCCTCTGCATATTCTCCTGTGGATCTGCTTGGTGACATTGGGAACTCTAGAAAGAATATCTGTAAAGCAAGAGTCAGGAACTGCAGTGGATTCGTGGCTGTTTAGAAAAAATATTCTTGGCCCCACTATGAATACATTACTAAATAGTTTGTGCTGAATGCTTCTAGTGATGATGGCAATCCAAAACAAGTCTCTGGAGAGACAGCAGGATATAACGGGGACCCCTAAACAAACCACAGGCTGCACACAAAATGTAAGTGGTGGCCTAGCCCTGGAAGACAAGGGTAGGACGCTCAATGTCCCAGTGGGTGATGCTGACCGAAGACCTAACCGGGATCTGAACGCTCCGCCCCAAGCAGGGGACCCTATGGTCACGGCTCCCATCCTCCCCATGAATACCGCCGCCCGGAGGACATCAGGCCAGCTCTTCGGAGCAGCAGGGTCGATTGCGTCTCTGAGGACGGGGTGCTGGGCCCCTCGGCGACCTCTGCAGGGACCCAACGCCCGACCTCCAGAACACGTAGCCGAGAGAGGGAAGCCCGGGAAACTACTGGAGCGCTCGCCAGGTGGCCAAGGCGGAAGCACTAGCGGGCGGGCAGTCGGCCCCCTTCTGCCTCTCTAGGAAGCCGGGAGGCTGGCCCTTCTCTATGGTTCCCCCGGAGCCAGACTCCCACCCTTGCCTTGCCTTGCCTTCGCCATAACCGCTCTGCGCCTGGTTTGTTTGCTATTTTCTATTGAAATTGGGGAGTTCTGGCTGTGTTGCGCAGGCTGGTCTCGAACTCCTGAGCTCAAGCGGATCCACCTCGGCCTCACAGACGTGAGCCACTGCGCCCGGCCGCGCCTGGTTTATTTTCTCTTAGGTCTTGGTACCCCAACTACATGATAAATTCCTCCATATTTAACAATTAATTCCTAACGTAATTAACTTAGTTCCTAACTCCCTACCTAATTTACTTAATTCCTAACTTAACCTTCTGATGGCTTTATAGCCCCTGTCTCCCACTTAATGACTGTGACCTAAGACCATGGGGTCTGCACTCTCACGGTCTGCGTTCCTGGCTCCACTCTGTATGGACTTGCTCAAGTCATACTCAACTCGTTGCCTCAATTTCTCAATTGAGAATGGTAATAAAAGTTTGTGATTTATAAACTCAATGCATTAACTGAGTCCATTCAGGAAACTGTTTTGTAAACCAAAAATAAAATTCTAAGTCTCCCAACTAACTGAATGGACCACTCCCTTCCGCCAAAAGCATTCCATAGAAAATCTGATGGGAAGTAGAGAGGTTGGACTTGGAATTCAGGCACTACAGATCAGCATTAGCATTAAAACAGAGATCTTGAGGCTAAAACAAACTATATACCAATAAGACACCAAATTCCAACCTGACTCTATAGTCTCACATGACAGATTGCAGGCCCTGAAAGAAATGGAAGTATTTTACCCTAAAATATATTTCTTTGACATATTTTGAAATGGCCCTGTAAAGCTGTCTCTGGTGGTGAAAATCTACATCCTGTAAAGAATCCCCTTCACTTTCGAGGTCTTTTCCTTGATCCAGGAGAGAATCATCTAAGAGAGTCTGGCATCTTTTGAAGTCTGATAAGAAACATTTACAATCGTTTCTCTCTGAAGCCTGCTACCTGGCGGTTTCATCTGCATAATAAGAACATTGGTTTCTAAAACTCCTTAACTCAGACATTCCCTTCTATTGATTCCAGGTCTTTCAGTAATAACTGTCAACTAAGTGCCAGTTAGAAATCTTTGAATCCGCCTATGACCTGGAAGGTGCCCCCACACTCCCCGCTTGGAGTTGTTCCTCCTTTGTGGACTGAGCCAATGTACATCTTATTGATTGATTTATGTCTTCCTAAAACACATAAAACCAAGCTGTAGCCTGACCACCTTGAGCACAAGATCTCAGGACCCCCTGGGGCTGTATTGTGGGTCACTGGTCCTCATATTTAGCTCAGAACGAATCTCTTTAAATATTTTGGTTTGACCCTTTTTATGGACAAAGTCCAGTTCTGTACCAAACTAAGTCAAAATAAGCGCCATATTATTGCTGACATTATTATTCTTGCATATCTCGCCTCTCTCCTGTAAGACACTCCCATAAATCTTTCTGCAGTCCAGATTTGGTAATAGTCATGGCAATAGTGCCTCCTATTGGCCAGGCATTGTGCAGATAGCTTGGAGCTAGAGGTCTGGATTTCAAACTGCCTGTTGATTTCTACTTAATTATTCCACAAGAGCCTAAAATTCTAAATGTTCCAAATTAATCTCATCATCATTCCCTCATCCCCCTGTTCCTCCTTCAGGGTTCCCCACTTCAGTGGATGCACCAGTTTGCATCCAAGCAACTCAGTCATCTGGTAGTCATCACTGACTCTTCCTCTGCATCTTCTTTCCCCTGGATTACTGTGTCGGCCTCCTAACCATTTCTGTGGTCTCCAGTATAGACCCCTCCAAATCCTTTCTTTGCACACTGCAGACAGGATGATTTAAAAATGCAAGTCTGGATGTGAATTGTTCTGCTTTGTAAAACCCTTCAGAAGCACCTGTATCTTTTAGCTATTTTCCCTTAATTTTTCAGATTTGAGAATAGCTGCCCCTAAAACAAGGTTTTTTCTTTTTTTAAAAAAAGGTCTTGTCACCCAGGCTGGAGTACACTGGCACCATCATGGCTCACTACATTCTCTAACTCCCAGGCTCAAGTAATCGTCCCACCTCGGCCTCCTGAGAAGCTGCAAGCACAGGCATGCATCACCACACCTGGCTAATCTTTCTTTCTTCTTTTGTGAGATGGAGTTTTGCTCTTTCACCCAGGCTAGAGTGAAGTGGCGCAATCTTGGCTCACTGCAACCTCCACCCCCTGGGTTCAAGCGGTTCTCCAGCCTTGGCCTCCCGAGTGGCTGGGATTGATTATAGGCACCCACCACCACACTCGGCTAATTTTTGTATTTTTAGTAGAGATGGGGTTTCACTTCTCAGTGTAGAACAAGTAATCCCAAATTGCCCGTATTTTCCTTATTACACCATACCACTTGCCTATTATCAAAAGCAACTCAACGTGCTTTTTCCTTTACCTCAGTAAAACTTGAAGTCAGCTTTTGCTTAGAAAATAAGCTTCATTTAAAACATATTCCTGGCCAAGTGTGGTAACTTACACCTGTAATCCCAGCACTTTGGGAGGCCAAGGCAGACAGATTACCTGAGGTCAAGAGTTTGAGATCAGCCTGGCTGACATGACGAAACCTTGTCTCTACTAAAAATAGAAAATTAGCCGGGTGTGGTGACGCATGCTTGTAAACCCAGGTACTCAGGAGGCTGAGGTAGAAGAATCGCTTGAACTTGGGAGTTGGAGGTTTCAGTGTGCAGACTGTGCCACTGCACTCCAGGCTGGGAGATAGTGAGGCTATTTCGTGTGCAGCTTTGTAATATTCAGATCTATCCAGGATCTTTTATTGCCCCAAATTACCTAAGTTTTGTAGTAGACAGAACTAGTCCAGCCTACTATATACAGGCTGAGTATCCCTTATCTGAAATGCTTAGGATGAGATGTGTTCTGATGTTGACATTTTAGGGATGGGACCTAGGTCTATACAGGAAATCCATTTATGCTTCATATGCACATATCCTTACGTATGTCTTCCTCAGTGACACTGTGTAACTGCAATGACTATAACCCATCAAGAGGGTACGCTAGGCCGGGCGCGGTGGCTCAAGCCTGTAATCCCAGCACTTTGGGAGGCCGAGGCGGGTGGATCACGAGGTCAAGAGATCGAGACCATCCTGGTCAACATAGTGAAGCCCCGTCTCTACTAAAAACTACAAAAAATTAGCTGGGCATGGTGGCGCGTGCCTGTAATCCCAGCTACTCAGGAGGCTGAGGCAGAATTGCCTGAACCCAGGAGGCGGAGGTTGCGGTGAGCCGAGATTGCGCCATTGCACCCCAGCCTGGGTAACAAGAGCGAAACTCCGTCTCAAAAAAAAAAAAAAAAAAAAAAAAAAAAAAAAAAAAAAAAAAAAAAAAAAAAAAAAAAAAAAAAAAAAAAAAAAAAAAAAAAAAAAAAAAAAAAAAATAGGGTAGGCTAGGGATTTTCCAATTGCAGTGTCACAGCTCAGTTCCAGATGTTGAAACTTTTTGGATTAGAAATATGCTCAACCTAAGTACCTGAAGGTCCCTCCACAATCCCTGCTTGGAGTTCTCTTCTTTGCAGATTGAGGCAATGTACATCTTACATGTATTATCTTACGTCTTCCTAAAAACATAAAACCAGGCTATAGCCAGACCGCCTTGAGCACACGATCTTAGAATCCCCTGGGGCCATGTCGTGTAATTTTTATACTTATTTTCTTATTTTTTATAAGAAAATTTGCACAGGCATGGTGGCTTATGACTGTAATTCCTAGCATTTGGCAGGTCAAGGTGGGTGGATCACTGACCTCAGGAGTTCAAGACCAGCATGGCCAAGACGGAAAAAACCCTCTCTCTACTAAAAATAAAAAAAACTAGCTGGGCATGCTGGTACACGCCTGTAGTCCCAGCTACTCAGGAGGCTGAGGCAGGAGAATGGCCTGAACCAAGGAAGTGGAGGTTGCAGTGAGCCAAAATCATGCCACTGCACTCCAGCCTAGGCATCAGAGCAAGACTGCCTCAAGAAAACAAAAAAAGCCAGGCGTGGTGGCTCACGTCTGTAATCCTAGCACGCTGGGAGGCGGAGGTAGGGGGCATCACCTAAGGTCAGGAGTTCAAGACCAGCCTGACCAACACAGCAAAACCCCATCTCTACTAAAAATACAAAAACAACCCTGGGCAACACAGCGAGGCTGTCTCAAAAAAAATAAAAGTAAGGAAAATCTGCTAGATTATTGGGCATCAAGAGGCTGTCACCTTACCTATTTATGGCAAACATATTTGTACCATGGAAAAAAATGTTCTGAAGCTAACGTGACCTTAAGAAAAAAAAAATGCCACCTGGTGTTCTAAGTTATCATGATTTCTCATGACATGATAAGTAATGATTCTGCACTATCCATCCAAGTATGGGCAGAGAGTGAGATTAAGGAACTGATTATTTAATGTTTATTATAATCCTACTAGCAGTCTGCCTCCTAACCCCAGCCTCAGCAACAGGCTTTAAATCCAAAGACTTAAATAGATTTGCCAACATGACGAAAAGAACCTTTATTACTTTGTATAACTGCCTCTTATGCTTTCTTGCCAGATGCCTTTGGAGCAGGTGCTTTCTGGGCTGGAGCTTTTTGACCCTTTTGAGCTTTTGGAGCAGGCGCTGCCTTCTGGCCTGTGGCTTTCTGGGCAGGAACCTTCTGGGCTGGAGCCTTCTTGCCTGTGGCGGTCATCTTTTTTGCTGGGACTTTAGCAGCAGCTGCAGCAGCAGCACCCTTAGCAGCAGGTGCTTTTTTGGGAGAAGCTTTCAGGAGAGCTGCCTTTTGAAGCTTCTTAACTTCATTCTTGATTATTCTGTTCCTCTGAAAATTATCAATATACAAAAGCACTTATTGTGTATACAAAAAATCAACTTCAACTTATGCTGGTTTTAGAAAGGGCCATTAAGTAGTCTGTTCCCCTACAACTAAATCTAAATAAAGGTAACAATTCCATTAGAACATCATGAAATACAATGAGGATAGATTCTCCCTTTTCACAGAAAGCTCCCAAGAGGCTGGCAGCTTCGAATGAGATTTGGCTACTGCTCTCTTGTTATTCTAAAGCTAAATTACACAAAGTACAGATCTTAAATCTTACCATTTTCTTTGCCTTCATAACTTTAAAACGATCAAAATCTGTCATCTTGGCTTTCTGTTGAAAAATAAAAATAAAAATTATCCCTCTCACAATACCTTGAAACCTCAAAAAAAAAAAAAAAAAAAAAAAAAAAAAAAAGAAAAAGCCAGAATCCAAATGACTCTAAGTGATTACCCTTTCTCTGGCTTCAATCTTCTTGGCCCATCGAGTGGCTGCCCATTTCGTATTGATATCTGCCTTCTGCCAGGCTTGCCGGACATACTTCTGGCGGGCACTAGAACGAGCCAAGACCACAGAGTCAGGAATCAGCTTTGAAGTCACTCATTAGCAAGGACACTTCCTTTGTTCCTCAAAAAGCACTCTTCCTGTTACAATTCTTTGTCTGCATAAGACAACATCTGGCACAGTATGTACTTATTTTTATTGTGTTTTGTAAGACAGAATAGCTTGTAACTTCAAGCGTATTTTAATCAAAACTGAAATCCAGTCCCATTTTTTTTTTTTTGAGAGAGGATCTTGCTTTGCCACCCAGGCTGGAATACAGTGGAGTGATCATGGCTCACTGCCGCTTCAACCTTCTGGGCTCAAGCCATCCTTCTGCCTTAGCTTTCCAAGTACCTGGGGCTACAGGTGCATACCACCACACCCAGCTAATTTTTGCATTTTTTGTAGAAACAGAGTTTTGCTATGTTGCCCAGGCTGGTCTCCAACTCCTGGGCTCAAGCAGTCCTCCATTGTGGCCTCCCAAAGTGCTGGGATTACAGGCACGAGCCACTGCACCCAGCCCAGTCCATTTTATGAATTTAAAAACTACCTCTCAACCCAGGGCAGTGGCTCACGCCTGTAATTCCAGCACCTTGGCAGGCCAAGGTGGGTGGATCACCTGGAGACCAGCCTGTCCAACATGGCAAAACCCCATCTCTACTAAAAACACAAAAATTAGCTTGGCATGGTGGCAGGTGCCTGTAATCCCAGCTACTTGGGAGGCTGAAGCAGGAGAATCGCTTGAACACAAGAGGCGGAGGTTGCAGTGAGCTGGGATGGCACCAATGCACTCTAGCCTGGGCAACCAAGTGAGACACTGTCTCTCTCAAATAAAAAAAAAAAATCCTCCAAAACCAAAACCACCCCACTTCTAACCATACATAATTCCACTCTGGCAGTGAATCCGTTGAAAACCATTCTTTTTTTTTTATTATTATTATTTAAAGACAGGGTCTTGCTCTGTCGCCTAGGTGGGAGTGCGCTGGTGCAACGTTGGCTCACTGCAACCTCTGCCTCCTAGGTTCAAGCAATTCTGTCTCAAGTCACCCAAATAGCTGGGAGTACAGGTCTGCACATCACACCTGGCTAATTTTCGTACTTTTAGTGGAGATGGGGTTAGCCAGGCTGGCCTTAATTCCTGTCCTCAAGTGATCTACCAGCCTTGGCCTCCCAGAGTGCTGAGATTACAGGTATGAGCCACTGCACCCAGCCAACCCATTCATTCTCACAACAAACAAGGTAATTAATGTTCTTTTTCTTTTTTCTTTTTAATTTTACAGTAACAATTTATGGCCAAACATCCTAAAAATAAAATCCAGGGTGTTCAGGGATCCAAGGCAGAATTATGAGAGTCCCTAGTGAAAATCTAAGTTATCAGATTTTTTCTACTGCTTTGAACTTTGATGTATCCTCAAGCTTTACCCCAATTGTGCTTTCAAACAATGTGGTATGTCACAGCAGCAGCATGGCCATGATACACTCCAGGTTGTTCAAGTGGCATGCTTTCGACCCCTAGTCCCTGAAAGTCCATTACGTGTTAATACACATCAGGCAGGGTCTGTAGTGCTCAGCATACAAGTTTTTGACTATTTTAAAGCATGCAACATTACATTATATCTACTTTATCTGTAATGGCCATGTGACAGGACACGTCCAGTACACTTTCCACCGCATCACCATTGTGGGTTGAATTAACTGTATAGCAACCACTAAAATGTTTTAATTTATAAGTCAAAAAAGAACTGCTACGCTACTCGCTGCCTCATTTAAATGTAAGCCAGGGATACAACCTCTCATGTAAAATACTGTACAAACGACACACACTAAGAGCTTACCTAATGATGTAGTATTTTTGTTTACTTTAAGCTAAAAGTTTGGCAGAGACCAGAAGAAAGGAGGATGGCAAGTCAGAACAGAGGCAAAGCCCTAAATTATCAAGGTAGAAAGGTGACCTTAGGACATTTTATTTTTTTTTTTGAGACAGGGTCTGTCACCCAGGCTGGAGTGCAGAGACATGATCAGGACTCTCTGCAGATTCAATCTTGCTCAAGTCATCCCCCCAACTCAGCACACACCCTGCCCCTGCTCCCATGCTGGGGATTACAGGTGAGTGCCAAACGCCCAACTAATTTTTTTGTATTTTTTGCAGGGATGGGGGGGTTCACCATGTTGCCCAGGCTGGCCTTGAACTCTTGAGCTCAAGAGATCCTCCCACCATGGCCTCCCAAAGTATTAGGATTAAAGGTGAGCATGCCCAGGACATTTTAAAAGTAAATAATCCCTGTCTACTTCTACGATGTAAAACCCTCTTCAGGATGGCTCTGAATCTTTCATACCGTTTACTATAAACAAAGTTTTTACTAGTATAAACAAATCTGGGGATGGTAGGAAGGGGTGATAATTGGTGGATAGTTACCTGTGTGGAAACTTGAGGATGAAATCAGTGAGTTGCATGCACTTGAAAGGCATGGCCTGTCTCCTCACCTGAGTGCAAGGTCCATCAACCAAAGCCTAGAACACCAACATCAAGAACTTCAGTGCAAAATCTAATAGCAATTAAAATGGTCAGATGGTTCTGTACAATTACTTATCCGTTCAGGGTCATCAAACCCACACTACTATTTAAATAAATTGCTTAGAAAAGACAAGAATTACTCTGAGTCACATGCTTTATATATGCTGGATCTGTTCTAAACTCAGTTTACGTATCTAGTAACTCATTTAAACATAACCAACGTTTCAGCCCATAACTGGCTCTAGCTTAAGTGGCTGGGATAATACTAAAATTCAATATTAATAGCTAACTTGAGGCTGTGTTTAAAACCCTTACCCTACATTGACTGTTTCCTCAATGGTAAAATGAAGTTACTACCCATAGCATACTTACCTTATACAGCTCTTACCATCGAGACAATTATTGTTGCCATCTGCCGTGCATACATCCACTGCCACGTTTAGTAAAAAGCCGTGACACTTACCCTGTTCTGATCAATAACATCTACAATCGCGACCAATTTTCCGGCATGAGGTCCAAAGGAGACGTAGGCCACCCGGCCAACCTCCACGAAGCGCCTGAACACCTAAAATTTGGGGAGAAAGGACAATGAGACTTACCTAAAAACACTCGCTAGTTTATATGTCACTTTCTGCAGCTAGAAACGACATGGTTAAATTCAGCGAAAAAGAATGCTGCAGGGGAACACACGCCCGAGCGCCAGGCGCCAACCTGAATGGACGAAATCGGCAGACGCAGCCGTAATTAAAGCCCGGGTCCCGTCGCCACCGCCTGCCAGCTCCCAGCTCCGCAAGGCCGGGGCGGCGGGACAAGGCTCTCGGACCACGGGCGGCCTCAGCAGTCCCGCTCCAGCGGCCGAGGCGCGCACGCGGGGCCCAAGGAGCTCCAGGCCTGCCGGGTCCTCCACGCGCTCGTCAGCCCCAAGTCCGGGAAGTGCCCGATTCCGGGGCACGGCCGGCCCAGGGAGCCTCACCATGTGCTTCCCAGGACCCTCCGGGAGCCGTTCGGCGCCTCAGCTTCCCAGCGGACGCGGAGGTAGAGAGGAAAGATCGCCAGCCCCGGAGCCCGCAATAGTAAGACTCACCATGTTGGCGGCGTCAGGCGAGAAGGAAAGAGGCCCGCCCAACCGTGCGCATGCGTAGAAGAATGCACCGCCCCTGCGGTAACGAGACGCTGACGTGGGCACCGATTGGTTGGTGCGTGCGTGCGTGCGTGTGTATGCGCACGCAAGCTTACTGGGAAAACATGGCGGAGCCGGCTGGAGCTAAATTGCGTTTTCGCAAAGTTGGGAGGCGAGATTGTTTTTGGTGATTTGGATTGGAGAGCTGCAGGAACGTCACCTCTTAGTAATTTAGGATTAAGAGTACGGAAGCTATGTCGTCCGTTGATCGCATGCCATTTGACTTCCTTTTTACTTCCCCAAATTTTATTTAAATGTTGCTTATTCATAGCTTACTACTAGGTCTGTTGGCTCCTCACATTCTTTTTTTTTTTTTTTTTTTTTTT